GGTGTATTTTAATTGCTGACGTTGTGGGTGGGTAGGTGGGGGGAGAGTTGGGGGGGAGGGGGCTGTCTCCCACCTCCTTATCTGTGGTTTATATCTGAATACGACCTTCAAATATTTTATCATCGATGAAAAACAACATCGACCCGCTAAAGTTTTTAGGATTTCTGTGACGATTCATTCCAAGTCGTGCATTAACACACCTGTGTGTGTGTGTGTGTGTGTGTGAGTGTGTGAGCGTGAGCGTGAGAAATATTGTGAGCACGGAGGGTTTAAAACAAACTCAAGTGTAAATTATCCCTTTGCTAGCTGCATGTGTTAAAACCCCAGTGTCGTTGGTCTTTTTATTGGTCTGGTCTGGAGGGGTTTAGTGAACAGAGTCAGGAACCCAGAGATCTGCCCTGCTGAGCCACGACGTCACAGCCACTGGAGTCGAACCGCCGCCTTTGACCTCTGACCTTTCTAAACGTCACAAAATATGTCGGACAGACGGCGTCAAAATGCATCGTTTGATCACTGTTGTTGCCATGGTACTGTATTAAATAAAGTTAAAGTTTATTATTATTTTAATGAAGTTCTTCTCACGGCCGTCGAAGAAAACAGTTCCAAAAACTCGTTGCCTTTTTTGCCCCGTGTATAAAAGAGAGAAAGTTCTAATGAACCTCAGCAGTGAGGAATGTACCTGTCTGACATGGACCTGCTGAATTATGGGATGTGTTCTGATCCGCCTGGGATCGGAGCGGTGGAGATGTAAAGGGAAAAAAAAAAAAAAAAAAAAAAAAAGAATGAATGTTTTAATGAGGGTTGACCAAACTCTTCATTACCACAGGGAAATGAAAACCTCTCGTGTTACTGATAACTAAGGCACTTGTATGCAGTCTGTGTTCTTGAAGCTCCAGACGTGATGTCGTCTCTGTCTTGATGAAAACCAGTACGTGTGTGTGGGCCCAGCATCGTTTTGATATCAATCTATGCATATACAGTATAAGTACTACATCGTCCAGAGCTTTATTTGACCCATGGAGCTGCGCACACCATTAGTCAGAGTACGGTAGACGTGGAGCGGTCCAGCTTCTCTCCTTCAGATGGATCACAGTGTATGTAGCTCTCAATAAAAGACGTCTGTTGATGCTATTTTTATTATCAAATAAAGTTTTCACAACAAACAGCTCTTCATGTCTCTGACTGAAGAAGGTCGTTGGTTCAAGACCCCCTGAGGTCTGCACTGTAGCCTAGACACAACGTCGGAGTGGTCCAGTCTGTGGTCACCAGAGAAACACGAAATGGTTCAAAACTGCCCTTCAAGGACCGGGCTACGACCAAAGTAGACAACGGTGAATAAGAAGTTAGTTTAACTTTAAGGACATTTCAAAGTAAAAGCTCGGGTTTTCTCATTGTTCGAGTCCAGTCGTTCTCCAGTTCATTGGTCGATAAACATTTCTACGTTGTCCGATTCCTTGTACTTGCAAGGTACACACTTTAACGTGGTCTGCAGACACTGGTGAAGAACTGAATCATTTTAATTCCATAACCCAGAGGACAGAGATTAACGTGGATTAACCTTCATGTAATGTGATTATTATTACAGTGTGATAATCAGGTGTCGGGTGTTGTTACCGTGACACTCGTCACTCATTATCGTTGGACTAAACTCTAAATCCAAGGTGACCCCTGATCAAAGACACACTGACGAGAACTCGTCCAGGCACGAGCGCCAGGTTTTTGGGGATTTTGGATTATTATTATTATTGTTTATTGCCAGGTTTTTGGATTATTATTTTGGATTATTATTATTATTGTTTATTGTTTTTTGTCTCGACATTTCGACACATGAACAGACGAACAGCAGGAGTGGTTTGCAGAGTGCGTTTATTTAAGGTTACTTCATTACATGCTTCTACGTTCAGAAATAAGCCAAAATCAAAGAGGATCAAAGTGGAACACAGAACTTTCCCCAGAACTCTGGTGAAAGAACAAGATCACAATCTGTATATACAGGTACAACTGTAATGGGCCACGGTCTGCCCACTGTCTTTAGGTTGAACCAACTGGTTTGTGTTAATACAAAAAGGTATTTATTCTGCAGACATGAGCCTTCGGTCGTTTCCTGGGTCGGAGCAGAAGTCTTCGTCTCTCGGAGCGGACCACGAAACCTTGGTGGACGCTCTTACGCCGGAGCCACAGAACTGGAGGAGGCGGAGGAGGCCTCGGTTTTGGTACTGGACGCCCCCTCCTCTTCCTCAAAGGGATTCTTCCCGCAGCACAGGGTGGTGATCATACAGTGGCGGAACTGCTTGTTCATGAAGATGTAGATGAGTGGGTTGTAGATGGACGAACTCTTGGCAAAGAAGGCGGGGATGGTCATGAAGAGAGGACCAAACTCCGAGCCCTGGTTAGTGAAGATGTACCAGGCTACGCTGGCGTAGGGAACCCAACAGATGAGGAACGCGATGACCATGATGACCACCATGCGGGTCACCTCCCTCTCTGCCCTCTGGGTGGTCTCGGACTCCTGCTGGGCGGCGGCGGCCTCCTTCACGGCACACAGCAGTCGGCCATAGCAGAAGAAGATGATGACGAGTGGGATGCAGAAGTGGCAGATGAACATGTAGATGACGAACGACTCGTTGTTGAAGCCCTCGGCGCGGGTGTAGTAGTCGACTCCACACGAGCACTGCATGCCCTCGGGGATGTAGCGGGACCAGCCGAGCAGAGGGGGCACGGCGCAGGCGCTGGCCCCCATCCAGGTCACACCCAAACCCATGATGGCGTGGTTCTCCCCGAAGCGGAAGTTGCTGATTGGCTTGCAGACGACCAACCACCTTTCAACGGCCAGAACCACCAGAGACCAGAGCGCGATTTCACCCCCCAAGGTGGCAAAGAACCCCTCCAGATTGCAGCCGAGGCGACCGAGGACGAAGTAGCCGTGCATGGAGGTGTACATGGTCGTGGTGAATCCTCCGAAGACCATGAAGAGGTTGGCCACGGCCAGGTTCAGGAGGATGTAGTTCAGGGGGGTCCGGAGCTTCTTGTGCTGAATGGTGACGTAGAGGGTGAGAAAGTTGATGGGGAACCCCAGGAGGATGAGGAGAAACATGTAGGCGCCCAGGGCGAAGTAGGCCGCTGGGCTGACCAGGTAGTACTGTGGGTATTCATACGGATTCCTGACGACCCCCGTGGTGTTGACCATGGGGACGTAGAAGTACGGCCCCTCGGTGCCATTCATGGTCGCGGCCGGTGTTTCGCGGTCGGCCCTTCACTGATGGTTCTTTAGTTGCTCAGAAGAGACAGACAGACGGAGGAGGTGGAGGTGGAGAAGGAGGTGAAGGAGCTGCTACCAGTGGAGGCAGCTGCCCGGGGTCGGGCTTTTAACAGGCGCACCTCGGATTAACGCTTTCCAAATCCGTCAGCACAAATTAATTCAGGCCAGGGTTAGGAAATAATCCAGCCACCTAGGCAAACATTAATGAGCACTCATCAAGATATTTGGGTTAGAGCTGTCGGTCGGTCTGTCTGACCGCTGACCACTGACCACTTTCCACTAACCACTGTCAACTCTCCACTGACCACCGATCTAGGGTGACCACCTGCAAACCAACATAATGTGGGACAAGTAGCAGGTTTCTGTGAGACCATGTGGGACCATGTGAGACAGCTACAATCAGTTAATCTGATTTTTTTTTTTACCAACATGTTCTCCCCCCACAGAATGAACAAAATCTCTAAAGGACCTAAAACATAACAAAAACGTTGCTAGAGCTGAGGTTAAGAAACACAAACTTATTCATTGATAAATGAACTGATTTTTTCCACAACCAACATAAAATAAGCCGACAAGGCAGAACAAAATTTACTTAAAATAAAATTAGGCAATTTGAATGTAAATATGTCAAAACGGACATTTCTCATATATATATATATATATATGAATGTGCATCAGTGACGTGAGGTTCATGTCTGCTGAGGCACTGACTCCTCTGAGTCAGATTTAAGAAGTGAAAAGAGCATCAACATCATCACCTGGTCATGGTTCATATCCATCAACATTCCTCTTTCAATGACACTCACACCAACACCAACATATTCACAGGAACAGGAACGATTCTTTATACAAACGGGCAGAACACCTTCCTGTGTCTAAGAAATTCATATTTACTGTAAAGAAAAATTTAAAGTCTAGAGATGAGAGCAGCACTAATTTAATTTGGACCTTCAGGATAAAATTCAGTTATTTTTCAAATGTATCAATATGATAAAAAAATATTTTAGGCCAAAATTTTATATTATAATACTTGTATGTTTTCTACTTACTCCCATCTTATTTTTAAAAACCACTGTTAGCCTTACCTTTACTTCTAGCTGAAGTCCGTGGTTGTGTCTCTCGGTTTCCCCTCACCTTAACATCGTCGAGGCTAATGTTTAGTCTCCGTTGTTCATCCGATGACAAATCGATCCTTGAATTTCCAGAAGTTTCTAAATAAATCTGTCTTTGAATGTTCGTGTCTGATCTTCCATGTCTGCTGAGGCTTCTTTGTAAATGTTTCAGGTCACAGTATTCCGAGTTCGTCCAGACGTTATCACACGACGACAATAAAAGACAAGGACAGCAGTAATGGCGGTTTCTGACAGGACAGACACACAGACAGTCTCTTCGTTTGTACCTCTACATTTAAAAAGAACGACTCTTCTGTCCCGTAGTTTGAAGCTAACCTTTTAGCTCCGGCGTTAGCTTCAGTCACTTATCACCTTCTGTTTGAACCGGAAGTCCAGTTTGGATAAATGTTTCCGTCTTAAAAACGGCATAAAAACCGCTGTTCTTCACCGACTACTGCCTCTAGTTTGGCGCCGACTTTCAATTTCCTGTTGACGCCGGTTGGCGAGCACCTGTCAATTTACGTACGACCCCTTGAGGTAAGGCGGTGTACTGCCTGCCCCCCTGCTGACTTCTCTTCACTTTCTTGTCCGATCAGCAGGAGCAATTCTCTCCCACAGACATTACAGACATTACAGACATGACACAGACTGTAGAGAGTCACGATGTAGAACTAATATTTCTGTAAAGTTCTTATTGATGACATGATCTGAGGAACAGAAACGGACACACGTCATGTGACCCAGTTTGTACTGGATCGTCAGTCAGATGTGAGTCACAGCTCTCCGCTGCCTCAGCCTCGGTCTTCTGCTCTGTATTTGACCGCGAAATACTCAAATTCGGAGATTTTTATAAAATATGTAGAGTCATACTGAAAATAAATCTTTAACATAAATCAGTGGAAAATATTAATATTTATTTCATCATCATCATTTTTTCTTTATAAACATAAATATAATATAAATCATATAATACATATAATATGTATCTGTCCTGATGGTGGCGCTGTGCTGCTGCTGGAGATCTTAGCACTTTCCTCTAATGGGTGTTGAATTAAAGAGATTTAAGGCTTAGACTGGTTTCACTGTCAGCTGTTAATGGATTTAATGTCACAGTAGGTCACTGTGAGGAAAGGCGAGTGGAAGGGGTGCAGTGGGAGTACAGGAAGGAGCAGAGTAATGGTCAGGGGGGGTTTGACAGTAAGAGTGAAGGACCTTTTTTAAAAAGTGAAAGTAAATAAATGTGTAAACATCAGAGCAGTAATAACTGTAAACATCAAACATTGTAAATAATATTTCTTTATATTTTCCGTCATAAATTTCTATTCCGTTCAGTGTTTTTAACGTACAGATTATTTTCTACGTTCGTCACTCGGACAAACAAATACATTTACACACAGAATATATTAAATATATCAAGAGGATTCTCGCTGTAAGGATTTCCACAACAACCCGCTGCACTGGCATATGTTCTGTGCTTTGCTGCCCTCCTCAGGATATATTTGTTAACACACCCTGACAGACAGATCTGTCGGTGATTCTGTCACTTCAGTCGAGGGCCAGAGTGGATGGTTCGGCGGGCTGGATGTCGGCCCACAGACCGTCAGTTGATGATCACGCAGCTGCAGTTAAAGGAACGTTTGTGAATGATTTTGTTTTCACTCCTGTGTTACTGTAACCCACCCCAACTGTACTGTACTAATGAAGTGGGCTGCATTTGTAGACCACCAGGTCGGTGCCCCAGGATCAGACCCTGAACCACGGTCCTCAGTCCCCGCCGATCTGATCTGTATCATCAGAACTCTGGACCAGTGAGTGGGCGAGTGTGACGCTCCGTCACTCTGCCCACAGGAAGTGTCGCTGAGTGGACGCCACAGAACACTGTGACCAGAACATTCCACACCAGCAGCGCCCACATTCAAACCACAGGAAGAACTGGGTTCTGTCATTGGTTCTGATGAGTCATGAGTGACAGGGTGTAAACAACAGCAACAACAACAACAACAACAACAACAACATAATGTCATTCTTTTTTTAATCAAAGCCCAGGAGTTACTGTACTGTAGAGGGCGCCATGTTGACCTGAGGTCACCGTGGTCAGATAGTCAATCTTATAAAACTTCTTCAGTTGTTCACATACTACTGCACCGGGTTTACTAATACTACATTTTCACACATACTTTGTAAATATAAAGTACTGTAAATTAGGAAAAAGGCTGTAAAAGTATTTCCTGCTACAACAGAAGACAGACAAACCTTGACAAACAGAAAGCTTCAACGCGTGATCATTTACACATTCCACCAGCAGTGGGCGCTGTTGACCTTCTTTGTGCTGCTTGACTGGACAAATTTACCTTGTTGTTTTCTAATAACTTGTGATTTTTTTTGTTATCGTTGTCTATCCTGTATAGACCCCCCTCCCATCTACAGTGTCTGTCAGACTGTCTGTCAGACTGTCTGTCAGACTGTCTGTCAGACTGTCTGTCAGGCTGTAGCTCACGCCTGTATCCGGCAGCGTCCTCGGTCACAGCAGCAGATTTAGTCGTTGACGTTGAGAGGATTTATTTTTATCTCTGTTTCTGAAGAAATTAAAGAAGTCTTTGTTGGAAAACTGCCCAGAGATTAGACCAGCGTGTGAGTGTGTGTGTGTGTGTGTGTGGGCTAATCAGATTATCACACACACACATGCCTGTCTCCCGCTGAAGTTGGTTCATGTTCGACTACGGCAAATTAAAAAAAATAAAGAAATAAATTAGCAGCCGTTCAGTGGAGCCGTTGCCACGGTGATGGATCCTCGGTGAATGTGCTGGAGCAGGAAGTGTGTTTGCGAGCGACGTCCTCTCATGGACACACACACACACACACACACAAACACACACAGACAGACGTACAGTCAGTGAGTCTGCAGGAGCATTAACCAGACTCCGGGTTAGGATTTAGAAAACGTGGCAGCGCTTAACGTTTGTCGAATCTCTTAACTGTGTGAACAAATGTCACAGTCATCAGCACACACACACACACACACACACACACACACACACACACTCACACTCACACCTCCCACGCTCGCATCTGCACTTGATCACACGACGACTGCTTCAAAGCCACAGTCACCAACCGTCCTCTCTCTGATCCTTCTCTTTATTCTCTTCTCAAATGAACGTCGACGTCCAGCGTCCGTCCGTCCGTCCGTCGTCCACCAGGTTCTGGTCGCGGCTCGTCGGACGTTAACTCCGCGGTGGAGGTCGGATTTTGGTGGTGATTTTATTTCTGTTTTGTTTGAAAGAATTTTTCCATCTTAATCTTCACCTGAGAAAACTCTGAGGGCAGGTGTGAATGGTTGACCCCGTGACCCCGTGACCCTGTGAAAAGGGGGGGGTGAGGGGGGTGAGGGGGCGGTGAGCTGCACTCTACTGTCAGGTTTCAAACCAGCAACCCCGAGAACCAACGAATGAATGCTTTTACATTTTTTTTCATGCTCTCATAAAACAGTCAACAGATCTGAGAGGCTCAACGTGCGGCTCACGTCTTCGTCCATGTCCACATCAGCCCAGTGTTTGTACAGTTGGGTTCAGCTGTTCGTTCGTCAACGTGTTCTAACCTTCAGTCGTCACCAATGCCGTTCATTTTTCCCCAATATATATTTCCACCAAAATATGCTTTAAATATAAAACGCCCCCTAGAGGAACAACTAAGCGGTGACCCGCTCTGTGAACCATCGTCTTCACAGCAGCTTCCTGTGACACGTCAACAAAAATCGAACTACTCTGAAAATCATGTCTGTTATTAGAGGTTGTTCACAGCCAACCTATTCAAACTGTGGCCCTGGGGCCACGTGTGGCCCAGACACAACCTCATGATGGCCCACTCTCTGGACCTCTGAGGAACACAAAGATTAAACGGAGAACTACAGTGGGTTCTCCAAAATCTCCACAGTAGAACAGAGCATGAATGGAACTCTCTCTCCGTAGCCTAGCAACATGCCACCCACAATGCATCAGTGTCTAAAAGTGTTCAACAGAGCAACATGTCCCTCTCAGAGCAACTTAAAATGATGAATAAAGAAAAGAGACTAAAACACAGACCACAGAAGAAGAAGTCTGTTCTAGTGCAGACTCCAGGACTGATGGGTTCTCCTTCTGCCCAAACTTACCTCCGTTTTATACGGTGATTAAAGACGTTGGTCAGAGAACATCAGTGTAGACTAGTGGCAGAGTACGCTGGTACAAAAACACAACTTTCCAACTTCTCTAGGAGAAGAAAAGAAAAAAAACACACACATATTTCCCATGAACCTCCAGGACTCTAACAGTCGAACCAACTGACAGGAACTGAGCATCATCAGTCACATGGTCCTCAGCTGTGGAGCAGCAGCTCAGCTGAGACTGATGAGACTGATCCAAGGTCTGAGACTGATGAGACTGATCCAGGGTCCTGAGACTGATGAGACTGATCCAGGACTGATGAGACTGATCCAAGGTCTGAGACTGATGAGACTGATCCAGGATCAGGGTCTGAGACTGATCCAGGGTCTGTTTCTCTACATTTGCTTTAAATACTAGAAAAAATTATAAGAGTACACAGCCTAAAGCATGAAAATGGTTGGATGGAAAATAAAAGATACTTTAGTTGAAATCTAAAGATTTAAAATATAAAATTAGTGAAACTGACTTCAGACAAAAGGAACAAACATTTGTGAAGGTGGTTCAAACCTGGGCCTGTGTTCCAGGTGTGATAATTGGACGTGGGACTCTGAGACGGCGTCTCTTCGTCTTCCTCCTTCTTCCTCGTCCGCTACATATTCACACCTCGGTGTTAGGAAACGGCAGGAGTGTGAGGTGGTGATGTTTTTAAAAGTAGAAGGTCAAAGGTCAACTATGAACCAACCACAGTCTGTGAAATGTGTTTTCACTCTGAGGGGAGGGGGGGGGGCACAGGGGGGTCTTCATGTCTGTTGTGTTTTATTTAGCGATGGTCCCTGAAGAAACAGGTGAACGACCAGAACGACCTCATTTCCTGTTTCCTCACCTGTCACTCAAACCTTGATGATCAGTTTGTCTCTGCGTCTCCGGCAGCTTCAACACGACCACGGGGTTAATGTTCACTTTAAACTGACGCTGGTGTGAATGTGAATGAGTGTGAATGAGTGTGAATGTGACAGTTCTCTCCAAACCGTTTGGTTTTTTTTTTCTCTCTCAACTCAAAGACATAAATACTCACAATATGCTAATCAGAGGCTTTGCGCTGCCGTGCCATTGGCTGACGGCTGATGACTCATGTTAACAGGCCGGTGGGGGGGCTGGCAAGAAGGTGGTGAGTGGGAAGGTGGTGGTGAAAAGAGGGAGCAGGAGGAGGAGGACGTAGATCTCCTCCTCTCCTCTGCCTGTGTGATTATGTGCATTAAAGCTGTGACAGCGTTCAGATCAACACATGGGAGAAGGACACGCACACACACACGCACACACACACACACGCACACACGCACACACGCACACACGCACCAAAACCAAAGAGTGGCAGAGGGAGTGGAGG